CTCTTTTTACGTGTTTATGGCTATGTTTGGCTTATTTTTATCCATTTATTTGTGCCCTTTTTTTGTGTGTTTTTCCTACTTGTTTCCTTGTACTTGTTGACAAATTTAAATAAATAAATAAATAAATACCATGGAATGGTGGCCTTGTACTTTGTTGTTGTTTTCTGATTTGTATCAGATGAGCATGTGATTTTTCAAACAAGGTGGTTTACAGAATAACCTCTTTTCTATTTCCTGTCACATGGGTGTAATTTTGTGGAAGAGACAGTTGGAGGAATGGTGACCTGACTTTGCTGGGCTAGATGAGCCTTTTAAAAAAGAATGACTGTTCTCAACTGCCTTTAATGCCCCCTTTCTTTCCTCCCTCAGCCAGATATCCCGCCATCAAGTCTCTAATGGGTTCAGATCCCCATTTAAAATGGATTGTGACAGGAATGGTATTCACTCAGCTTCTTGCCTGCTACCTGGTGAGAAATTTAGCCTGGAAATGGGTTTTCTTCTGGGCTTATAGTTTTGGGGGCTGCATAAACCACTCCCTAACACTAGCCATCCATGACATCTCTCACAACATTGCCTTTGGCAACAAGCAGGTCAAGTGGAATAGGTGGTTTGCAGTCTTTGCCAACTTGCCTGTTGGATTACCTTACTCTGCCTCTTTCAAGAAGTACCACATTGATCATCATCGATACCTTGGCGGAGATGTTTTGGACGTGGACATCCCTACTGATTTTGAGGGCTGGTTCTTCTGTACTCCATTTCGGAAACTAATCTGGATTGTCATCCAGCCATTTGTTTACAGTTTGAGGCCACTATGTGTCAACCCCAAAGCAATTACTGAGATGGAAATATGTAATGCTTTGGTCCAATTCTCCATTGACCTTGCAATCTATTATTTGTGGGGTTGGAAGCCTATTGTTTATTTAATAGCAGGAACATTGCTGTGCATGGGTTTGCACCCTATTTCTGGGCATTTCATAGCAGAGCATTACATGTTTTTGAAAGGACATGAGACATATTCGTACTATGGATCTCTCAACTGGATCACCTTTAATGTTGGCTATCATATGGAACATCATGATTTCCCCAGCATTCCTGGATCTAGGCTACCATTGGTAAGCACTGATATTCCCTCCTTTCAATGTTTCAAATTATTTTGGTACATTGCTTATTAAACTTCTTCAAAGTCCCTATTATATCATGTGACAGGAAGAATAACAGAATTAAAGCATGCAGAATGAAATAGTAAAAGACAGTTGATAAAGCTTCTGGCACCAAAATATGGTTTGGAATGAGAGGAAAAGTTATAGATATTAATGAAAATACTGATTATTGGTGTGAAATCAGATGTATGGTAAGTAATGGTTTTTGTTTTTCCACTGGGTTATAAATGAAATGTCAAGTCATTGATACTTTCTTCTGTCCATATTTAATGGGAGACAGATAGAGTAAGGTAAAGGTAAAGGTTCCGCTCACACATATGTGCTAGTCATTCCCGATTCTGGGGTGGGTGGGTGCTCATCTCTGTTTCAAAGCCGAAGAGCCAGTGGTGTCTGAAGACATCTCTGTGGTCATGTGGCTGGCATGACTAAATGCCAAAGGCACATGGAACGCTGTTACTTTCCCACCAATGTGGTTCCTATTTTTCTACTTGCCTTTTTACATTCTTTCGAACTGTTAGGTTGGCAGAGACTGGGACAAGTAACAGGAGCTCACTCCATTATGTGGCGCTAGGGATTCTAACTGCCGAACTGCCAACCTTTCTGATCGACAAGTTCAGTGTCTGAGCCACTGAGCCACTGCGTCCCCTCAGATAGAGTATGAACACATATCAATGTACATACTTTGAGACTTAGGCTGTAGTTCAGTTGTTCTTCCTCCTCATTTGCCTTTACATTTGTCCTCTTCAACTGACAGCTAGTGTTTTTCACCAGGAATTATTGATGAATAATATATTCTCAAATCTGAACTAGTGATATATATGCCAGGGCTGCCTTCTAAAATATAAACCTAATTTTATACAAAATTGGATCTGAACTTGTTCTCAATCCTTCGGTGATTCATCTGCACATATTTTTACCCACCCTTCTGAAGGAAAATAGCACACCTCTGCCCTATATTGCATACCAACCCCTGCAAACAATGACATACACACACCCTAGCATGTAATCTCCACACTATTATTTGTATAACCTCTCTTAAAAAGCACCTAACTTTCAAGAATTAAACATTAATTTTTGCTTGTTTTACTAGACAAAAAAAAAAGAATGTTCACATGATTTTTCCACAATTTACAGCACTGTGCAATTACAAAATCATTGCCTAAAGGGCATGTGACTTGTGCATCTGTGGTCCTGCCCCAAACCCACACAGCATATGCCCTCATATGCTAATAAATGGCGGCTTGGAGCATGGATTCCACAAACAAAGTAAAAATGCATTGTATTGTATTCTATAGGGCCCCTGAGTGTTGTAGACTAATGTATCCTTCATTATACAGTATATATTTCATTGTCAAACATTCTGGTCTGCCTCTTCATGATTAATTTGTAGGTGAATTTAGCTAGCAAGGGAGTCCTTTCTAACTTGAATCACTGTTGCTGTGAGATTTGCGTAAACACCAAATGGTTGCAAGACACTTGGATTGTGATACACAGAGGGGCAGTTCTCTAACTGTGGCACCAGAATGGCCATCTTGCAAATTCTAATATCCTTCCCACTGCTGTGGTGGGCCTGTCAAATTATAAAGGATAGAATAGAATAGAATTCTTTATTGGTCAAATGTGGTTGGACACACAAGGAATTTGTCTTTAGTACATACACTCTCAGTGTACATAAAATACATTCATAAAGAATAATAACATACAACACTTAGTGATAGTCATAGGTTAATAAGCAATCAAATCGTATTACAACAAATAAAACAATGTGAATTGTAAAGATACAAGCAACATGGTTATAGTCATAAGTGGGAAGAGCTAGGTACTAGGAAGGAAGAGAAGAATAATAGTAATACAGTCTTAGTAAATAATTTGACAGTGTTATGGGAATTAGTTGTTTAGCAGAGTGATGGCATTTGGGAAAAAACTGTCCTTGTGTCTAGTTGTTCTAGTGTGCAATGCACCATAGCATCGTTTTGAGGGTAGAAGGTGAAGCAATTTATGTCCAGGATGTGAGGGGTCTGACTCTGCAGATATTTTCACAGCCCTCTTTTTGACTCATGCAGTATACAGATCCTCAATGGAAGGCAGGTTGGTAACAATTGTTTTTTCTGCAGTTCTAATTATCCGTCGAAGTCTGTGTCTGTCTTGTTTGGTTGCAGAGCCAAACCAAACAGTTATGAAGGTGCAGATGACAAACTCTATAATTCCAGTGTAGAACTGAACTAAAGCATTTATTCTCCATTTATTTACACAAGCATTTATTCTTGTGAAGTTAATACCACTATCCTTCCGATAGTCTTAGGATGCTCCCTATCCTGCCATTTGACTTTTGAGGGGCAGTAGGCACAGACCAAGCAAAGAAGGGAGGTGCACCAATCCTCCACTTATCAGATCTCTAGGAATGTTTGGGAGTGGTCCAGAGACATTCTTGTAAAAAGAGATAATGCAAAAAACGGATGCTTAGTTTTGCAACATGGCAGCTTTCCATTTAAACTGGTTTAAATTAACCTGTTACATTTATTTTAAAAGTAAACAACTTTAGAAAAAGTAAATACATGAGATAGCAACCTGGAATGTGCCGAGGGAATTGAGGATCTCTCTGACATATTGAGAGTTGGTGGGTACTCCTCTGGAAAGCCTGTTACAAACCAGTTTTTTCTGATTTTGATTTAACATGTTTGATTTTAAAAATTATTTTGTGAAGACTCTTATCACTCTTAACCATATCTTCAGTTTTGGGTGGGTGGGTCTTAAGCCATGTTATAACATGAATAGCTATAAAAGAAGTTAAACACATGGGCAGGCAGCGGGAAATAACTTCTCCAACATTCCAATAATAAAAAAATAATGTGAATATTATTTATGGAGTCAAAGAGGGGACAAAAGCTCAGTTTGCATGGAGTGGAACTACTATCTTACCTTCTGCTGCCTGCCAGCTGCCCGCAATTTGTCAGTTCAAATCTTACCAGCTCAAGATTGACTCAGCCTTCCATCCTTCTGAGGTGGTTAAAATGAGAACCAAGATTGTTGGGGGAAACAGAGAGAGCTGTAAAGCACTGTGAAGAGATATATAAGTGCTATTGCTATCCCTTCAGACATCTTGTCTTTGGGCAAAACCTTGCCAGATTTTTTCCTCCATCTGTGTTTACACATTTATGAATAAAGAAATGTGTAAACAAAGGAGGAAAGAGCAATCTAACTTTGATCTAGAATTTTGGTAATGCTTCATCTTCACCCTCCCCTTCATAAGCATTCCTGTTATGGAATGAAAGACCTTAGGAGACAGTGGCAAAGAGAGAAAGACCTTAGGAGACAGTGGCAAAGAGAGAAAGACCTTGGGGGACAGTGGCAAAGAGACGCTGCTCAGATAAGAGACAGCATAGCCAGCATCTGGAAGGTGTGGGGAGGGCAAGAGGTTAAGAAGAAATCGGTGATTCCTACAGGTTTAATATTTGTAACAAAATAGGTAACCTATTAAAGAAGTAACTGCTTGATGCGAGACATTCTCATTCATTTAATTAGTGTTCTCACATAAATAGGAACAAACAAATAAATTTTTCCAGAACATAAAAAACATTGAAATCTAGTAAAAAATATAGCTTGATTTTTTTTTTGTATAGAGCACCAAACATCAGGTGACCATTATGTTATTGCTTCAAGGTTACAAATGCAATTCACACACACCCCAAACACATATGCAGACATCCACAAACATTCTTACTGTTTTCATTACACAGAAAAAAGCCCATACTTGCGTAAGATTTGTTTCTATGATTCTTCATAGCATGTTATCTTTTCCCTGTTTCTGTCCAATTTAGCTCTGAACTAAATTAGTTCAATTTAGTCAATGGCTAAAGGGTTACAAGTCTTATCATACTTACCAGCATTGGGGAGGCTATGAATTCACAATGATATCCTTGGCAACATGACCCTCATGTCAGAGCCTAGTTTTCTAGTCCCCAGTCTTTTTATAGCTTCCTCAAAAATAAGCTATAAGCAATTTGATATTCCTTAAAAACGCTTGATTAGACAAATAAGAGGAAGGATAAGCTTAGTCTAGCACTAATGATATTACCTATTTGGATAATGAAACGTCTGCAAGAAAGCAATCAAGGACCCTTCCCCTCCCCAAAAGGAAGCATATGGGTTGATAGAGATATCTAGAATATTTCTGTACCTGGCTTTATAGAATAAGTGAACTGGCTATGTATTTCTGTGGATTATAGTAACTGCAGGTTGAAGTTATCTAATAAACAATAGCAAATAGTGGTTCAGCTTAATAAATCCAATTTATTCAATGTTCTTTGCCATTTACTTCTTTTGAACTCAACTTTATTCCAGCTCCCTTCTGCAAATTATTTCCCCACTACTGAATCTCATTCTTTGACTTTTATTCATTCTTCTTTAAATTGACTTAAGTTGACATCTATAGGTTGCACTCACTGACCAAGGTCAGATCATTGACCTTGGTGGCTGAGGTTGAAGCTGGACCTCAAGTATCTGGAAAGTCAGTGGAGAGCCTAAGCAAGTCAGGGAGGTGTTACCTGCATCTGTCATTAAATAGCAATAGCAATAGTTAGACTTATATACCGCTTCATAGGGCTTTCAGCCCTCTCTAAGCGGTTTACAGAGTCAGCATATTGCCCCCAACAACAATCCGGGTCCTCATTTTACCCACCTCAGAAGGATGGAAGGCTGAGTCAACCTTGAGCCTAGTGGGATTTGAACAGCCGAATTGCTGAACTGCAATCAGCTGAAGTAGCCTGCAGTGCTGCATTTAACCACTGCGCCACCTCAGCTCCTTAGAGACTGACTTTGTTTGTATAACTTATTAACCCCGTATTAAGTAAATTAGGGCTTGGGAAACAGGTCCAAATGTCTGAATTTGCACAACACCTAGATGTAGTCAGTAATGATGGTGGCTGCATACAATGCACTGAGCTAGTCAACAG